ACCCGACCCGAGCCATGAACACCTTGGATATATATGCCCTGTCCAGCATGAGATGGGCCTGAGAATAGCCCGTAGACGCATTTGGTAACGACAGGAGGACCACCCACCTCGTGGTTCTCGCTTTGAGCTGGTTTCCACCATGAAAAAACAGCTGGTAGCTTTTAATAGCTGGGATAAAAATAACGTTGTACGAATTACAGGGTCAATGTGTTCCACTTTATTTTGATTGCTTGATTGATTGATATGTGGTGACAAGAGATATTGGGTCCAATCGCAGAATTTAAAATTAATTTTTTTTAATATAATTTTTTAATATTTTGTTTAATAAGAATGATGAAAGTAAGAGAAATAAAAACTAAGAAAAATATATTTTTTATATTTTAGAAAAAAGAAGTAGATATAATATATTTTCTTTCTTTTATATTTAATAAGATAGATGAAAAATAAAAATAATTAATTTTTTTTGTGCTCGGTAAAATACAAAAAATATGTTTTTATTTTTTTATTTTTTTATTTAATTTTTTAAAAATAAATATAAATAAATATTTTATTATATATATATATATATATATATATATATATATATATATATATATATATATATATATATATCAAATGATATATAGATAAATAAGATATATTTTAATACAAATAATTAATTTTTTATCCCTTTCTTTCTAATTTTAGATGGATTAATTTTGGTGAGTTACAAGAAAAGCTCATACAATCAACTTTTCATCATTCTTATTTTCTTTTTTTACTAAACCTAATATTTTATTTATCTCATTAACTTTCTATTTTTTTTTATTTTTTCATCGCACCAAATAGAGCATAAGCGTTATGATTTATATTTATTAAATAATGCTCATTAATCAAATAAATAAAATTAAAAATAAATATTAAGTGATGTGATAATATAAAAATGATGCATTGGTCTCATTTTTATTCATTTAAAACTTTAATTTCACTTGACATGTCAGTTATCGTATCATTTGGTTTTTAATTTTGAATTTTGACTTGACTTTTTAAAAATTGTTAGATTAGCAAAAAATCATAATATTAAATATAAAAAAAATCATAATATTAGATGGGATCCATTATTATTTTAATCTATAATTCTATAATATAAAATATGGTAGATTTCGTAAGGCCATCCAACAATCTCAAATGGACAAATCTAACGAACACCAACATCTCTTTAAAAATTATTCACATTGCATCATACTTAAATGTATGAGTTACTCTTAGTATTTATATAATTTAGATCAATAAATTAAGTTTAAATAATATTATTTTATTTCTTATATTTTATTTATGGACTTGACTATGGTACTGAAATTCAAAATTGTGGTACCATACCGAAATTTGCTACATTTGTGATAACTTTTATTATATTTGTAGGTACTTTCACAACTGTTGTGGTACTCGAAAAAATGGTAAAAATATTTATCACAACAATGGTAATTAATTCATAAATATGATTTAAAAAACACTTACAAATGGAATAAATTAACCACAAAAATGATAAGTTTTTTTATATTTAAGAAAAGTGGTAAAAATAATTATCACAAATATAATAAAAATATCCATAACAATAGTAAAAATATTTACAAAAGTGGTAAAATACCTATAAAAATGATAAATTAACTACAAAAGTAACAAATTTCTTAATTATAAAATAATTCATAAAAATTATAAAAAACATTTTAGATATGTAGTAAATAGTAAATTTTAAAAGTATGATATCAATTTTTTTTAACCTAATCGTAGTAAAATCCGTTATTTATTAGAGTGGGGGCCTATTTTTCAATTATGACACTTCAGATTGGGACAACGTTGCTTACAGACAATCCAGCTGGCTACAACTCATCTAATCATCACCGTACGTGCAGTATTTATGCCTTGGAATTATGCCACACAAAATTGTACACTGCGTCAGATGATAGAGCAGCAAACTTTCCCTTCCACACCATTTTTCTCAGCTTATTTGGTCAGTTTTTGTCCATTTGATTATTTTTTTTTCGTCTGATTAAATATAAGTTATTTACATCTAATTATTAGAGTATTTATAAAAAATAAATTTTTCATGACTGAGTTCAAAAAATTATTAAAATTTAAACTTAAAACGTTTGAATTTATTATTCATTTTTATAAGTATTTTTATCACTATTATAATAATTATTTTTATTATTTCTTTTGAGTACCACAATAGTGATATAAATATAATAAAAATATAGATAAATATAATAAATTTTGAAATGATATCAAAATTCAAAATTTTGATACCATAGTCAAATCCTAGAGTCATATACATTATTGATTGTACTTATCATCTCATTGATTGTAAAGAAAGTTTGGCTACTAATTGAAATTCAATTGAGATATAGATGAAGTCTGAATCCAGACCAGCTCAAAAAAAAAAGTTAAGTGATAGTTTCATGTAGGACCAATCAAAATAGTATAAGCTAATGAGGAAGCACAAGGGCTCATATTTCTGCATTTGCCTTTTATAGCAAATTATATGTGTATTTGGTAGCAGGGGATAAGATTATGCCATCGGAAAAAAACTTATTCGATGAAATACTAAAAAATAATTTTAGAGATAAATTTTTGGTGTAAATTAGTTATAATAATCAATTATGAAAATAATAAAATAAAAAACTTTATATGAATCACATTTTTTTGTTGGATGAAAAAGGAAATTACAATACCATACTCATCTCTAGTAGCATAGATGTTTTAACTCGGGTAAATCAAGATGACACAAAACAAATTTATATTACTTTATTATTTTAATAATTATAAATAACTGGAATAAAAATTAGTGGGTAAATATTATTTTTTAATATTGCTCCAATTTTTTTTTATTATAATAGTGGTATCCTTTTAACTCAAGGAAAAAACTATTTTAAACAAAAGTAATGTTATACAATTTAAATAAAATTTAAATATATATCATCCCTTAAATAGGTTAGTTTTATTAATTTTTTTGGTAGAATCCACCCTTCTAAGAAATAATATAAAATTTGAATCGTAATTTTTGAATTTTCAACTAGGCTGTCTAACCTTTTCTTTTAAACAACTTTGCAACCGCTACAGAGAGCATGCATGCATGCAAATTAATGGTGGTTAATTAGACATTAATGGGGTGAAAAAAGCTGACATAGTTAGGGTGGTCCCCACTAATTCATCACAGATTGACACTGTAATAATAATTGTGAACAAGGTCATTTTTTTGGAGTCAAATGAAGTACAACCTCCTTTATAAAAGCCCACTCCAAGCTCTTAACCTTAATATCCAGACCAGACCAGTTCAAGCATCACAAAGCAGTAGCCATGGCAAAACAGCTGTTTCTACTGTTTGCTGTTTCAATCTTCTACCTTGCTGAGGTACAGACTAAAATGGGCCAATGGTTTTTTTTTCTTGAGAAATGTATTTTGTTAGTGAGCCGTTCGGATGGAACGATTTTATGCTGTTTTAAGGGGTAGTTATTGGAGATCTTAAGTTCGAGTTTTACTCGATGTTGATGATTTATATGCATTCTGAGTTTATGTTTTAATCACAAGCTTGAAACATGCGTGGTTAGGGCGATTTTTTGCTTAGCAAAAGGCTCTATGTTGTTAAAGAGCCTATTTTAATTAATTTTGTGTACTTTGGGTTGTTGCATTGCAGGTCTCCTCTGATTTCAACCCAGATGAACAGATTTCTTCAGTTACCCAAGTAGTACATACGATCTGATCTGTTCACTTCCTTTGCTTTGCTTCTTGTTCTATTTAGATTCTATGCACCTTCTTCTTTGTGTGTATATATATATATGATGAAAAAAATATGGGGTACCATTTTTGGTTCTAATATGTAATTTTTCAGGTGGGTGACTACAAAATCACAAAGAACAGGTTTATGCAAGAATTAGGTGAGCTGATAAATAAGATTCGTCTCTTATAGATATTTTTTGGGTTAATAGCACTTTTGATATGTATATTTTGTCGGTTTAATTTCATTAAATTAATTTTGTCAATTTGATTCTTAAAGTATTCAATTTATGTCACTTTGATCCTTAATCAGACAATTTATCGAATTTTTTGATGAAAGTAACTATGCGTCATTTTTTAAAACAGTATTACATACCCGATTCGTGATTATTTCGTTAAAAATTTACGAGTTTGTCAATGTAGTATTAAAAGTTTATTTTTCAATATTATCCGTCTTTTGGCACCAAGTTTATTATATGATAATAAAGAGTGATAACTCGGCTCCATGGACTTACCCGTACATTATGTATCAAATCCTTGCATTTCTATAGGAAAGTGATCAAACATTTGGTCTGCAGGAACTATGTACCCAACCGCCATTCAAAACGGACACACCTTAGCTCCAACTCCGACTCCGGCTCCGGCCCCTGCACCCTCCCCTCGAAGCGGCGGCGGTTTGGACTGTGGAGGGTTGTGCAAGCAGAGGTGCAGCCTGCACTCGAGGCAGAACGTGTGCACGAGGGCTTGTGGCACATGCTGTGTGAGGTGCAAGTGTGTGCCACCAGGGACCTCTGGCAACAGAGAGGTGTGTGGCAAGTGCTACACTGACATGACCACCCATGGCAACAGGACTAAGTGCCCCTAACTCCCTTGGGACCCAGCCCAATCCTTTTGTCCAATATGTAGCTAATGGGTATTGGAATTATTCAAATGTGATGAATATTAACGTTGGTTGGTTTTGCAGAAGTTTGTATTTGATTTAAGTATGTGTATATGTGTGTGTTAGTATGTTTGTATCAGTGCATAGTACAAGTTTTTAATTATGGTGGTTATTATATGGGACAAAATTAAGAGTTTTCCCCCTTCTCTACAATTAACTTCAATTGCTAAATTAGATTATTATATTAGTATCGTTCACTCGGTGACATTAGAAGCCCCGGAATGGAGAATGAATGAGAACATAAGAATTATAATGATTTATCGGCTGTGAAGTTTGGTTAATTCATTTTAATAGAGTCTGTTGCTTGTGGAGAAATCGTGTATTACTTGGAGAAGAGAATAGTTGGTTACGGTCTTTTTATTATGTCCTTACAGGTGTGAGAGCTTTGGTATTTATAAGAGATGATGTTGTCACCATTAAGTGGTCTCTAGTTTGTTAGGATTTTGTCGAGAATATTTCGGTTATTTGAGTTTTTATTCCTTAGGCCGTTAGAAATTATATTCTTTAAGAGTGACGTGATCTTCTACAATGTGTTGTAATTATAGTATGATATATCTTCCAGCCTGAACATGCGACGAATTTGCATGCCTCTTGCAGAGTCTGTCATCTGTTTGAGTGTATTTTAGGGTGAGCTCTCCTGTTGAGGTCGGCTCTTGTGTACAGTAGATCAATTTTGTTGTCCCGAGCTTGTGATGTTGATCATCTTCGAGGTTGCTACAGGGTGAGTTCGGTTCTCCATGTGGACTTCTTAGGCTAATCCTGAGTTTCTTTCGTTGGGTGGTCTTCGCCATACGACTCCATGATGGTTCAATTACTTATCCGATCACCACTATCAAGTGGTGCTATTTTTTGGATAAACATGTTTGTGGATAAAAAGTAAAAAAACTTCAAAAATTATTTTTCTTAGATTTATTCTGGTAATTAGTCGGGGTGCACGAAAAATGGGGCATTACATTATTTGTTGGCCGGATTTGAAGATGAGAATATGGTGCTTCAGAATAGGATCAACTAAACAGCCACAAACAAATTCGTCAATTCAGTTTGTTTAATATAATTTAAATCTTATAATTTAGTAATAAATGAAAGAAATTTTTAGGTGGCATTTGACCTAATAGAGTTCTTTTGAGAACTTCTTTATTCTTTTTTGCCTTCGATTTCTTCGTGTGGACCAGTGGAGTAGTTGAGTGTGTAGACCAGCTTAGTGGTCTGAAGACCTCACCAACTAGCAGTAAACCTGGCCTTGCTGAAAAAGCCAAGACCTCCGGGGTTGTTTGGTAAGTGGAATTGGGGCTTTGAAAGATGGGTCGGAGAAATATAGATTAAATGATACACAAATTTGAAGCCTGAATTACCAAAGCTCAACTTGCTGTTGGCTCGGATCTTAAACTGCAGATCATGGGTTTCATCAAACCCGAGAGGAGGCGAGTTTCAAATGAGGGTTCAAGAAACAAAAAAATAATTATACCTTATACGTAAACAAACATAGGTTTAGATTAGATTGATGAAGGAGAAAAATAATCATTTATATACAAATATATTATCATAATAATAATATATCCGTAGGCATACCAAACATAAATTTGAATTGGATTCACTATTGAATCTCATATTTGTAAGAGGGGTTTGAATTTAAAAAAATTTGGAAAAACTAATCTAAATCCTTCCTAAAAATTCATCTGAACAAGCCCCTAGGGTGCGGTACTTTTGCGGATAAGAAGGTATTGGAGGGTGGAATAGAGTAAAAGAAAAATTATACCGATGCTTACTTTTTAATATTGTCACTTACTTTTCACCAAAAAAAAAAAAAAGTCTTCCTTATATTACATGTGTCCACTAAAAAAATTATATGACCAATAAAACCGGTTTATATTTGAACAAAATAATTATAACTTCAAAAAGTGGTAACCACCCTAAAGGCTACTATACCCTAACTCAAAAAGTTGTAACCCCAAAAAAATTGAAACTTAATTCAAAAAATTATAACAAATCCCAAAAAATTTACAGAACAACTACAATATCGAAAAACATATTTTGGTACTGTAGAAGAACTCTAGAGCAAAACATTACTTGGGGTCCACTTATACTATGTTTATTGTGTCATTGTCGGTCCGGCACAAAAACATAAAAATAACACCGATTCAATGTTGCAGTGCAACTATAACAATGTACGAGGGTTTAATTAATACCACCTAGGGGTGGTATAATAAGAAGGTAATAAACCAACGCATGGTATTATAAGGGTAAATTATAACATTATCCCGTTCAATGCTTATGTTTTACGCCAAGGTAAAGGTATTAAAATCAATTAACACTACATGACATCTTTTCTTTTTATTGTGGGGACCATAAAAAATGTAAATTATCATATTATTTTTGTTTAATACCTCATGGTCTAAATAGATGTGAAGATTCAAGTCAACCTCAAATACAACCATTTCATTTTATAGGACCCACGTGTATTATGAAAAACTTACACAAACATGGCATAGGATGAAAAAAGATAACAAACTAACGTCCATCAAACCTAAGGGGCTGAAAATGGGTTGGAAGGGATATTTCAATCCCACCCAACTAATTCATTGAAAACATGCCCTAATTGGTCTACGGGACTAAGGCCCATGCATGTCAATTTCATACCTCATCCACAAATTAGAAATTAATGAAAGTTGAATTTAATATTATTGGATTCGTGCGATAGACAATTAATTCAATAAATAAAACGGTCTAACATGCATCCAATTAAATACAATAACGAATTTAAACATAAAATTAACTTGACTCGGTACAAATTCAGGGTATACACGATTGTTAATGGATCAAATAAATTGAGTAAATTTTAATACGATGACTCGTTGTTACCTACTTAACTTGTAAAAGTATTCGAACCCAAATAACATATTCTTTGCATATAGCAGTGTGTGTGTGTGTGTGTTTTCTTATGGAAGGAATAACTATATGTTAATTTATGCATTATATAATATCGGATTAGATAAATTTGTCCATCTCATACCTATCCATCTGGGCTTTATACTAATTATAGTGATAATGTCTCTTCATCCTATAGTTGGTTCAAATATTAAAAAGTAGTGAGTCATACATTTATCTCATATAATACTTTGTTTGACTGAAGTATTAAATGATAGTATAAATATTAAATTATTAAAGAACTCTCAAGATAATTATATCCTACAGATTCTTGAGGGTAAAAATATTTTTTGTTAAAACATACTCCAATCGGACTATTTAAACCCACTAAATAGGTAAGTTCATTTAACATGCTCTATGTAAGTTTAAAAATATTATTCATTCAGGCCGAGAATAATTTTAGGTAACAACACCGACCCAAAGACAATATAAGGATATATCATAGCCATCCAAAGTCTTTTCTTTGGTTGACCACGTTACAAGAAAAGTAATAATGAGGGGTGATTTAGTAATTTAATCTATTATTTGGTATTTTAAAAATTTAAACTGCAACACTTTTTATATTTTTTAATGGTAAGTCATTATTGTACTTCAGATAATATGTTCTAAACTTGCTTGAGTTAAAATGATGAATAATCAGCACAAGTCTAAATACTAAAAATTAAAAAATTAAAAAAAATTAAAATAAAAAGACAAAAATAACCTTTGCGTATGAGAAAAGGCTATGCATATCTAATCGACCCCTTCAAATTTTTTTGTTTGTAAGGATGGCCTATAAAATGAGTCCAACTCTTCGATAAAATGTAGAATTGAAAAACAAAATGGAGAAGAGAGGTCATGTCCTTGTGCTCACATACCCCGCCCAAGGCCACATCAACCCACTCCTCCAATTCGCCAAACGCTTAGCCTCCAAAGGCCTCAAAGCCACTTTCGCCACTACCCATTACACCGTCAACTCCATCCACGCCGACGGCGTAGATGTCCGGCCGATATCCGACGGCTACGACGACGGTGGCTTTAAACATGCCCCAAGCGTTGAAGCCTACCTAGAATCATTCAAAACAGTAGGTTCCAGAACTGTAACCGAGCTCATACTGGAGTTCAAAAATTCACCCTCACCTGTTGACTGCCTTGTGTTTGATTCATTGCTTCCATGGGCACTTGATGTTGCCAGAGAATTGGGGGTTTATGGAGCTGTGTTGCTGACCAATTCAGCTTCGGTATGTTCAATGTACTGGCATATTCATCAGGGTCTTCTGGGTTTGCCGGTGAAGCCGGAAAATCTGCCGGTGGTATTTCCGGGCGTTCCTCCGCTTGGATTTTCCGATATGCCGAGTTTTCTTGCACAGCCTGCGGATCACTCTGCTTATCTGGCGACGATCATGGAGAAAATTGAATGTTTGGATCAGCATGATTGGGTGTTTGTGAACACTTTTGAGGAGTTGGAAAGTGAGGTACGTTCCTTTCATTAATCTTAGGTACACATCACAATTATTTCTTAAATTTTGTTCCATTTTTTAAAATGATTCATGATTTTTGAATTGTCTCAATTAATTTTCTAACTATCAATTTTAATTTTGTATTAATCAAGTCCTTCCATCTATTTCATCCGTTAGAACAACCGGGGCAACTTTTTTTGGCTTGCAGTGAATTCTTGTAAACAGAAGACACCAATAAGCTTTACACGTGTGGTTCAGTGATCAAATCTGTTCTCTATGATAAAAACGTATTAAAAAAAACACGCTTTTATAATAGGAAAATTATTTAAGGTTTTACGCTGAAAGCGTATTTCAAAAAAAAAAATTTATAATTTGATAAATAATTTTGAAACTGCAATATTTTGGTAAAACATTAACAAAAAGACAATAGAAGGAGAATTCTTTGGAATATAATAGGTGTTGAGTTTCTTAAAGGAATATTATGATATTACTGGGTAATATGGGATTTTTCGGATTAGTCAAAGACCGCACAAGGGTACATATGCTTAATGAAAGAGCAAATTATATTGATGTCCCTGAAGATTTAGTGAAATTAAACTTCATTTCTCATGACTTTAGAGATTAAGGAAAACTTTGTAAGTTTTAAGATCGATTTACAGTCAACCTGACTCTGTCAGTTGGCCCTTACACTTAGTTTATTGATTTTTTTTTTTTCAACGCTGCGGTTCAAGGCAGGCCATACATATCGGGGACTAAGGTATCAATTTCTCATGAAGATTAATCTATTTTCATTGATATCTACAAACTCTGCCTAGTTTGGCTGGTCAAAATTGTAAGATTATGTCCGTGAAAATATTGAAAATATAAAGTAATTAAGATTTGAAGATAAGAAATACAATTCTCTCACAAGGTAGAATGTATTTTCTCTCAAAATTTGAGGGGTATCACTGTAATTAACTCTTAATGAAAACTTTGGACTTTGGCACGATGGCCAGACATATACCATCATTTTGTACTATACAATTCTGGATTTTTGATTTTTATGTTGCTCTGATTTCATGTTTTGTGGTAAGCTTGGTCGTGTGTTTGAAACAGAGGGCAATCATTTTTCACAACATACTACCAAGTAATGGAGACTAAACAGTGTGTTTATTTGTTTTTTTTTTGTTACTTTGACTCATGAAAAGCTAGCAAAGGCCATGTCGGGACTCTGGCCGGTGGAGATGGTTGGTCCGGTGCTGCCATCAGCATACGTAGACGGACAGATTGAGGGAGATACAGATTACGGAGGCAGTCTGTGGAAGCCAAATGGTGACCAATGCTTAAATTGGCTCGACACCAAGCCACCTAAAACAGTGATTTACGTCTCGTTTGGAAGCATGGCTCAAATTGCAGCCAAACAGGTGGTCGAAATTGCCCGGGCCTTGCAAGGGAGCAACAAACATTTCATATGGGTTGTAAGGGAGTCTGAAAATGATAAGTTGCCCATTGATTTTATAAGCTCCATAGACCAAATTGGGTTGGTTGTGGCATGGTGTAACCAGCTAGAGGTGCTGGCTCATGAAGCTGTGGGGTGTTTCATAACACATTGTGGATGGAACTCGACGTTGGAGGCGTTGAGCCTAGGTGTGCCAATGGTGGCAATGCCACAGTGGAGTGATCAGCCTGCCAATGCCAAGTTTGTGGAGGAAGTGTGGAGGGTGGGAGTGAGAGGGAAGAAGGATGAAGAAGGAATTGTGAGAAGGGAAGAAGTAGAGAGATGCATTAGACTAGTTATGAAGGGAGAAAAAAGTGAGGAGATTTGGAGGAATGCCTCTAAATGGAAAGAAAATGCTAAGAGAGCTGTTAGTAAAGGAGGAAGCTCGGATAAGAACATCAATAAGTTTGTTGAAGTGCTGCTGAAGGGAAAGGGGAAGCAAACTTGATCACGGGTTCTGTTTGATGAAGGCCTTGTGATACGAAGTTAAAATTGGTCAAAAGTAGAATCCATGTATAATATGTTTCATGTATATTTGACGGGGACTTGTTTGATATTATTATTAGGGGTGGTAATTTATGATATAATACGAAAACACAACTCGAAATTGACACGAAATGAGAGGATTAGGGTAGGTTATTTATCGACGCGAACCTGTATATATTATGGGCCATTAACATGAATAATAAATAGGCCGAGTCTGTGTCAAACACGAAAAATACAAAATTGATACGATTAACATGTTTAAATAGTATTATAAAAATAAAATGTTAATTTTTTATTATATTTTATCAAGTTGTGATATATTTTACTCATTTTTATTATTATATTTATTAAGTTTAGTTTTTGGTTTATAGAAAAAATATGAGCTTAAGTTCAGTTAAATGAAAATAAAATTTTAGACATAAAATTGAGCATTAAATTATTTATTTTATTCATGGGTTATATGAGTCAATAAGAATATGGTACGAAAATAAATAGGTCAACAAGGCACGACACGATTAATTAAACGGAATGGGTTATGATTAACCAATGTTTGACAAACAATCCAACATGACACAATTGCCACTGCTAATACTATCCCTCTTTGTCCTAAACTAGCATGTTGTTCCAGTTATGCACCTGATCTCTAATTTTCATTTTTTTTTCATATAAGCTATACTATTGGAGTCGGAAAATATTTTCTATGAGTTATACACACTAAATAACAATGTCAGGCAACGTGCACACCCGACGAGAATCTGTCAAAACACTTGTTTGTAGAACACATAAGATATTGGGCCAACTCGGCCCACCAGTCAGTAGCCCACGTATCTGTGAGCCTCACCAACTTATGTGTTCATTAATATTCATTAAAATATTAATTTTTTGATTTAAATTAAAATAAACAAAAAACACCATTTTTATTAAGCGTAATTACATTCATTAATATTCATAGTCCACAAGTTGCATAACAAAAAACTTAAAAACAAAATAATAAAATGATTAAAATCCTACGCCCCTCTTAATAGTTAACAATCTTGGTCATATCCTAACCATTTCCTAATCATGTAGTATTGGAAAACAAATTTACTATTCAGGATACTACTAATCGTGTCTTACACGTGTCCGGACACTGCCATTGCACCAGTTCGACAAGTATCCGTGCTAACCAGTCTAATGGGTATGTTTAAGACAAGAACGTAAGTCATTATAAGTTTATATATATATATATATAATGACTGATTCCAAATTATTACTTGTTTATGGAAATTTGGGAGCCGGCCCACTTTTTTAGACTTATTTCATAAAAAGTTCACTTAAAAACTTTGTTTGAATTTAAGTCAATTTTGATTTCTATTGTCTAACATACTCTTAGCATTTACATTTAATTAAAACAGATTTAAAAATGCAAACTTCTAAATTTGAAAACCAAAAAATTCTAAATTTTGAGTTTTTTCACATTAAAAATTTAAAACTCATTATGTCTCCCTCTTTCGGATCTATCTATATACACATTTACAAACGTAACAAAATGTAAACTAATTTAATTCAAAATCCCTTAATTTTAGATCTTTCACACACACACACACACAGTAATATTAAATATTAACATTTTGAAAAATTAACCAAAAAAAGTAGTAACATTCAAAACAAATTATTAACATTTTAGAAAGGGCTAATTGCAATTTGCTCTTTGAAAGATACATAAATTTTTAATTTACACCCTCAAAAACTAGATTTTCAATTTGCACCTCCAATGTGTCAAAAACGATGCAATGTACACTAGTCTTAAACGTCCATTCACTTTGCCGTCTAAAAACACAACAGACGACTGACACGTGAGTCTTGTAGGGATTGAATTGTAAAAACACCCTCCACCAACCTTTGGTGCCAAATCGACGTTGGCCTACCTTTTTCTTAATATAAGACGAGGTTGACTAATCAAAGGTGGTCTGCTATGTAGAGGAAGACGACAAAGGAAAACTAGAAGGAAAAAGATATCAAAGAAAAATAAAAATTGAAGGGGTTTGCTACTATGGTCGAAGGGCAATAATGAAGACCTCATGGACAGACTTAAACCCTGGAAGAAAGAGGTTTAGGGCTTGCGATCATTATGCGGTATAGCTTCACATTTCATTAGAAATTTAGCAATATTCTTGCAATTGATGAAAGTAGATGTGGTCTGAATGATATTTTCACACACCCATTCTTCACACATTTTGGATTATGCTTATTCTCTTTTAGTTGATTTTTTTAAAATTTATTTTTTTGAATTTTCATTTCATTTTTTAGGAATTTTTTTCTGAAGTTTCTTTATATTTTCACAAAAATCTTGTAATTTAAACAAAGATTTGAATTTTGCACATGTTGGAAGGTGGTCTCATTTTTTGCAAATTGTATTTGTTTTCCCTATTTGATTCCATGTTGTCTCACTACTGCCCTAAACTCAATTGAATTTTTAAATAACATCCCTAGTTTACACTGTGGGTCAACTATATTAGCCTTAGCATTGAAATGTGGGTACTCTACCCTCTAACGCCTTGCTTCATCCCCATCAGATAAGCCACTAAGGCTTCTTTTCTCATTCAACTCACAATCTTCACCTCCTAAACTATAGTCATTGTCCATTCCTGTTGCCCGAGTATTTTGATCCTTTTTTTGTTTGTTATTTTCAACCCTTTTATCTTTGTCACTTTTAACTTTTCCCTTCCCAACAAAGTTTGCATCACCATCAATTGCATTCTCATACGATGGTGAATTCTCCGTATCATATTTACTATCATAAAAAAATTTAGACTCAGAAGATTCACCCTGTAAATATTCTTCATTGTCTGAATCATTCTCATCAGAAGAACTCTTCTACGCAACCCCATTACCACAATTTGATTCAGCTTGACTAGGATTGAACATACCAACCTTAATGTGTTCCACATATAGATCAACCACTTTCTTCCTATTTGCCCACTTCTCCAGTCCTATAACATGCATGCCGATCATTTGTCCAATACCCTCCACCCCTTATTAACTCTGTGATAGTATTTTGTAATCTCACAGTTTCCCACTCCAACATCTTTCAGCGTGTTGTCCAACTCTATCAAAAATATTTGGTCAACACGACACAAATTAAAGTGGGTCAATCTCCCACCAGTGTAGAATTTGCTACCATAACCCTCAAATTTATCACTATGATACTTTTTTGTCGTAAAATAACTTGTGTTAACTTCTACATAAACAAATACGGACACATAAAAAATAATCATTTGAATATACAACACGAGTTTCATGATTTAACCACACGTGAATATAAAAACCACCACACTTGAATATAAAAATCAACCCACACAAATCCCACAGCCTATTGCTGACAAAACAAATGAAACCCTTTGCTTAAAAAAAAAACAACAGAACACAATCCATTAGGAAAACAAACGAAGAATAAAGCACCAAATACGATAAAGATGCAATGCAAACAAAAAATCAAAGCCCCACACAAAGACAAAGAATAGAGTAATCAAATGACAACCCCCAGCAAACATTAAATCCTAGGCCCACACAAACACAGAGAATATACTATGAATTTGAAAATAACCAAATAAAAAACAAAAAAAGCACATGCATACCATAAAATTGGAACCATCCTATTGCAAACAAAAAAACCCTTACCATCAATTGGAGCATCCTGTTCGGGGGGTATATCTGTTGAAAAATAAAAGCTTTAAAGTTTTTCATTTAATTTATTTTATATGCTTTAATGGATCACTTTTAATTTAGGATTTAATTGAATTTTTATTTAATTTAACTTTTATAATTATTGTATCTAGAATTTTATAGAACATGTTTGCACTTTATATTCTTCTACCAACATCTAGAACCTTCACCTTCACCTTCACCTTCACCTTCTCACCATTAAGTTAGAATTTTTGAACCTTCCAAACCTCCATCTACCTTGATCTTCTAGACCCTTCTCTAATCACCTATAAATAGATCCCCCACCACCCTAAATCACCAACAACGATTACCATTGCAAGTCTGTTCTTACTTTCTCTTTTATAAGCTTTTGATTGTAAGCTTGTAATCTAGATTTCTCCATAATAATAAAAGCTTTTTTCTTCACCAGTTGTATTTCTCACTGCCCAAGACATTTTGTCGATCTTCAAGGTTTGCAACCTCAATTGTGTTACACAAACAAATGTCAAAGATTAAACTTCAACATTCTTCATCTTGATTCTTCGTCTCCGAGAATGAAAAAGGTTTTATTAGCTGAGTACTTATCGTGTGCTAGGCACATTATAGGGTGGAAGGTGTTTTTTACGATTCAATCCCTACAAGAGTCACGAGCAAGTCGTGTGCGTTTTTAGACGACAAAACAAACGAATGTTTAGAACTAGCGCACATTGGATCGTTTTTGATACATTGGGGGTGCAAATTAAGAATTTGAGTCTTTGAAGGTACAAATTAAAATTTTGTTTATCTTTCAAAGGAGAAATTGCAATTAACCCTTCAAAAAATAGTAACATTAAAAAACATAAAAAATAATAACATTAAATACTAACTTAAGTTAATGACATTGACAGTAATGTGAAACAATAACATGAACACAGGAGGACGCTAGATATTAAAAATAAAACACACACACATAGGGGAGGCCCCACACTAACAGGGGTCCTAGGCAAAATGTTAAAACGAGGCCCCATTAATATATACTTGAGTAATATATTATTTATAACATTGACCAATTTTATTATTATATTTTTTGCCTTTTAAGATTCAAAAATATTAATCCAGTTTTCATATTAAAATTTTCTAATATAGAATTTCAATAGATAATATAACTACTCTCTTCATTTTTTATGATAACAAAATTGACCATAGATTTGATCATTTTATTATTAGAAATACTTTTTTTCAAGTAGAATAAACTCTAAATGAAATTATACTCACTATTCAATAAATAATTGAGGTAATTAAAAAAAAATCTAATCATTTTATATATAATTATATTGCTGCTCCCATGTAGAGTTTTTACATACGAAGTTTCTTAAGACTTTTAATCCTAAAAATAAATTAAACTATAAAATAAGTCATGTTTTACAAAAAAGTTCAAGGTTAAGATCATATTTTTTCCAAAACTTTCATTGCATAAAGAATTTAATTTTCTAAAATTAAATTAAGAGTCAAAAATATTTTATCTATTTTTAATACTCTAAACCTATATTGAATAAAGGAACAGTATCATCTATATTTTTTTAAAAAAATCAGTTGATAATGTTTTTTTTAGTGCTCTATTAGATCACTAGTAATAACCCGTGCCTAAAGACACTTTACAACTGAAAAAACACCGTCACTTTGAAACAATTTTTCTTTCATTTGCTTCAATTAAAGAAATTGAAATCAATCTAGTCTTCACTATTTTTTTAAAAAAAATCGTCATAATTTCCTCTAAAAATAGTAATCTAGAAAAAATCTCGACCTGTATACAAAGATTATATATCTCATAATCATACTCAAATTAACACCATAATATTAACCATTCATGTCATGGTCCATCCTTAAAACAACAATTTAACAACATAACAATTTACCTAGCTATTGGTTAACCCCATTCAAGTTTGAATTGCATATAAGTTTAAATTAATATGGGCTTACTATTTTTCAAATAATTTCAACAAAGTCATCTCCAAAAATTAACAATATAAGATTCCTTGGTTATGAAAAAGAATTACAGTCCAGCCATGCATTGATCAAGCAATCAGAACAACAACTTTGTGTGACTTAATCAACCTGAAGACTGGAAAGAAAATGAATTAGTCATATTCTTAGAACACTAAACCAGACAAAAAGAAAAGGAAAAATGGAAGCGTATAAGCGTATGCGAGAAAATAAGAATTGCAAACCCAATAAAGCAAATGCGAGAAAATGGAAGCGTGTAAGCAATTGTCTAAACCCAATAAAACAAATGGAAGCACAAAAATAGAACTAATTTGTAACGGAAAAATTAGGAAAACAAAGCTAAGAGGATTCCTTTCGTGATAGGGGTTCTTTCAACATCAACTCAAAGCCACACAAAACAAAAAGTTACAATAAAACTTAAGGACATAATCAATAGTTAATTGAGAAAGTTTCTAAAACCCGTAAACTTTTATAGATTTCAAACAAAATAGATCACATTCAAAGTGGTATGACACTAAAAATAAATAACCTAGCTATTTTCAAAATAAATAAAAAATTACCTCCCGACATGAGAGTGTCGAGTGATCGTGATCACCGCTTGAGTTCAACCATAGCAAACATTTCCTTCAATTTGCATCAAATTGAACCTAATGGCAATAGAAACACACGTTTATCACAAAAATCGACCCATCATTCCACATAAGAGTTGGAAATTAACCAACCTTTATATACCAATGGAGCAATAACATTCAAACCAATTTAACATTCAAAATACCCAAACTATAACAATCAAACTATAACATTCGAACTACAACAAAACTTATCAAACTTATTTGAAAAAACACTCAAATGAACACCAAAATTATCAAATCAATTTAGAGCATCCAAATTCCAATTGAAAATTGACAACTTGATATCTCATCAAAAGTATGCATATTAATATGCTGAAACACGTCTATGAACCTATCAATTTCATTAGGCTATTCAAATTAAACAAAAATTCACAGGGGTTCAAATTAAATACTAAAATTCATATTCAAAACCACAAATAATATGTACATCACCAATGCAGATAAAATACTCAGCAAATCAAGCCAAAACTCTCACTTCAGAGCACCAAGGTGGAATAGTTATATAACCCCAGACTGACTCTCAGTATGGAGGAGGCAAACCTGAAAATTATGGAAGAACCATAAATTTAAAAAAACACAAATAAAAGTAGAAACGTATTAGAGTAAAGAAATTGACAACTTCCGACCACTATAGAATGTGTTTGGTTGCTTCATTTACAAAAATTTTTTAAATGATGGTGTCCTTTAATTCCAAATAAACAAAAAAACTTCATACTAAAAGCTAGATCAGACTTCATAGGTAAATTCAATCTTACACAGTTAAAAAAAATTATGATTCATATATCATATCTCATTTTTTTTCCAATCAACGTGAAAATGAACTCACACTTAGAAGAAGAAACTCCAATTTAGCCCAATACAAAGCTAAAATACTAATGGAATTATATCAGTGCTTTAATGAAATTCGTGAATAGCAGATGGAAGAAATTGTTCGGGAAAAAAAAAATCTCTAATAACCCAGCAAAATAAATTCATTTAAATTATCCAAGAAGTTGGGCAAAGAACATGCGGGTTTTGAAATTCATTTTAATAAAAGATCTCTGATAACCCAGCAAAGCCAGCTTTTGAAATGCAATAAGAGTTTCTCGCAAAGTTATTGGATTTCCAATAAACAAAATCAATTTTTTCTAATCCCATGAATTGTCTATTCTGCAACTTCCTTTTCCATGAAGCAACCAAACACATGATTCATTTGATAAAGAGGAAAAAAAAATGAAAACCCATTAACTTAGGCAAAGAACAACGTGATAATGAACTCAGAAGTGGGTATTTGATTCAGAAGTGGGTATTTTTTTTTCCACTTAGAAGAAGAAACTCCAATTTAGCACAATAACAAAGCATACTAATCAAAAAAGGACTGACCCAAAACTTCAACCAACCTCCAAAAATTGAACAGACAAAGAAGAAAGGACTGACCCAAAAGGGTGCTGAGCGAAAGAGTGGGGGAGAAGGAGGTACCTGGGCTGAGCTTGGTGAGATTGGTGAATGGGTGTTGATCGTCGCTGGTGTTGCCGTTGAGCCATGGCAGAGGAGTGAGAGGGGTCTGGGTAGAGGGGTAAGGGGTCTGGGTAGCGTGTGCTGCTGCTGTGGAAAAGGAAGTGACTGGAGGGGGTAGCGTGGCAAAGGAAGTGACTGGAAGGGGTAGCGTGGCAAAGGAAGTGACTGGAAGGGGTAGCGTGTAAGGGGTGGGTTTGATTTGGGCGGGATTTTTGTTTATGTGAGATGAAATGTGAGCCTTTGGATTAAGTTTGAAGAATTGAGATGAAATCTTGGTCATTGAATTAAAATTAGAATAAATCTGAGTCATCCTTGTGCTTTCCCAAATGAATTTAAATTAAATTAAATTTTAAATTGAGAAAAGATTCAAAATTGGTCCTATCTTATTATTATAGATTATGGAATTTAAAACGACATAGAATAAGAGCTCCCCAACAGATTTCTCATGATTCTGAGTCAAACAAAGCACAAAAAAATTAATGACAAAGCTTCACAAAACTTTCAATCAAAGATAAAAAAAAAAAAGGAAAAAAAAATCAGAGACAAAGAGGTGGTTTTAGAAAGAGATTAAAAAAATCAGAGACAAAGAAGTAGATTTAGAAAGTACTGGTAACTAATTTCCCATGATCATCGGTCCAAAACAAAGCTGGAAAAAAAAAACAAGGATAATAAAGCTTTACAACAACATTCAATTCAGAGATAGAAAAAACAAATGAAAAAAAATGAGAGAGAGAGAGATTTACAGAGTATTGGCAAGGTGAATATCAACTTCGAGAGCTTTAAGAGAATCTTTCAACGACTTTCCCATGGCCACAATTTTCCTGAAAATTAACTCCCATTCAACAGAAGAAAAATCCCAGGAAAAAAAATAAAAAAGCAGAATAAATCTCCAAGTCGGTGGAAGTATGTAAAGGATTTAGAAACCAAAAGGGTAAAGGATTGATTTTTAACTCTGTAGACTAACAGTCCACCATGAAACAAACTTTCTCTTCTAACAAAGAACACACCCTGATCCAATTTAAATAGAATTACAAATAAAAAATTAGTGGATCATACCAATTCTTGTGTTGTTTGCATCTCAGTCACTTGCACTAAGTATGTTTTTATGCCTTCAGCTTCAAACACGAAGAAATGGTCCCACACCATATCTGATTGCCTTCACAAAATGCAGACAATTGCTAATAACCTTGTTGCTGCAACTAAAGGTTTCTTATCAGGTTCTCATTCTTTATATTCCGCCTAGGGCCAGAGTACATTTTTTTCCGTATCAGTCCAACCACCAATATAAATACTTGAAGCAATAACAGACCTATTGGAAACTCCAGAAATCATACTTTCCGGAAAAAAAAAAAAGATCATGATAAAAACAATTTTAATTTAAATCACAACTTAGTTGATTCACACAATTTTAATTTAAGCAGTGATGGCTTATAGTCCTAATCCGAACAATTTAAAAAGGAAAATTAGACCTAAGGGCATGTCCTCTACCCCAAACAAATAAAAAAATATCCAATGCATTTATACGGGAAATTATAGAACATGTCGTATTAATGTCCAAGAAAACTCAAGAAATAAGAAGTGGCACTGCAAAAAAACAGGCCCAAATTAAACTATTAGAAAAATGAGGTGACGGCCTACAGTATTGTCGAGAATTTTCACAATCACATATTAATGACTCGCCGCACTTGATAAAATCATGTCTCAACTATTTATGATCGAAAAATTAAAGCCAATTAGATAAAGATAACCAGCAAAAAAAAATCAAAATCAAATGCATAAATTCAAAATAAGCCAAAATCAAATGCATAATCAAACGCCCAGGTACACCCCATCTCTCTCTCTCTCTCTCTCCAACACATACACACACAGTCAAACCCACAAATCCTTGAGTATCCATGTTTCATAGATTAGCGGTCTAGTGGATAGTCAGAGAAAAAACAGAGGGAAAAAAGGGTATTGCTGGGAAAAACAGAAGCATCGCAAAACATATGGCTGAAGCGGACGCAGCTCCATTGGCTTTGAAGGCTGATTTTGCATTTAGTATGTGATGTACTGAATTTCTTATCAATTAAAAAAAAAATCTGGGCATTGATATGTGATTTATGAAAGCAGATTTTTCAGTTGTTGTTTTATGCTTTATTTTGGTTCTACTTACAAAATGTTGGTACCCATTAATACTTACTTAACTATCACTCAAATACATAATCCAAGTACCCGATGTACAAACGAAGCCAGTTTGTTTTCTAACTTAAGGACTTAATTGATCATTGCTTCAAATTCCCAAATTCAATTCTAATAAGCGGGGATGCAAATAACTCATTCATAAGCATTTTGATGTATGTTCACACCTTGTTCACACTGTTCAAGGAATGGTAGGATCAAAGCTCCTACACTCCATTGAAGATTTCTGTACACCATCACAGAAAAAAAACCTTAAAGGACACCCAATCTAAATGTAACCGGAACCAACGTCTTGAATGCGTATTGGATCGGTATCATGCCCGAGAACGTGTTGTTCTCCAAGGACAAAGCTGACAATTTGGGCATGAAACCCATGAACCCGGGTGAGTGAAGAGACCCGATGGGACTAACCCACTGAGGTCCACCACCTTCTGTCCTTAGAGAACTTTCTTCCATTAAATTCAAAAACCTCACTGTGTGTGCTGCTGAAAACCCCCATGTTTATGTGCAATGTCATGAAAACCCCCATCAAATTGCTCTTAGCCTGAAAACCCCCATGTTTATGCGCAATGTCATGAAAACCCCCATGTTTCAAAAGTCGGTCATTGGTGAAAGGGATTCGTGTGTGTGAATATGAATGGTGTGTGTGCTGCTAAGCGATTGGAGAGAGAGAGAGGAAGAGAGGGGGAGAGGAAAATACCTGGGCTGAGCTGTCGCTGGTCGCCGCTGGTGTGTGTGCTGCCCCTGAGAACGTTGGTGTGAATGGTGTGTGCTACCACTGAGCCATGGCAGATGAGTGAGAAGGGTCTGGGTAACGGTGTAAGGGTAGCGTGTAAGGGTACCGCTGTGTTGAGCCATGAGCCATGGCAGAGGAGGTGACTGGTGAACAGTGCAAAGGTGGGTAGCGTGTAGGGGTTTGTTTCATTTGGGCGGGATTTATTTTTTATTTGAGATGAAATGTGAACCATCGGATCAAATCAGAAGAATTGAGGTGAAATTTAGGCATTTGAATTAAAATTAGATTTAATCTGAACCGTTCTTGTGCTTTCCCAAATGAATTGAAATTGAATTAAATTTTTAAACAAAAAAAATTCAAATTGAATTCTATCTTATTATTATAGATTGAAATCAAACTAATCCATACTATTTTTCAAAAATTTCGATAAAATTTCATCTAAAAGTAAGAGCCGAGAAAAATATAAACATGTCTACGGAACTTACAATCATACATAATAATCTTCATAATACACCGTACCACCAAATAAATTCACATAAATAAGAATCCTTTGGTTTGAACATTCCATATTTTGAAGTATCGGTCAATAATAAAATTGCAACCCTTAGCAATAAAACAAAACCAAAACAGTATGTATGGTAAAGTATCTCAGAGAATCCATCTACCCATAGAGAACTATTGAGTATTTTCAGCCTTCCATGAGTTGGGGAAAACAAAAATCTATAATACATGAAACAATGTGAACCACCGTCAATGGACTCATTAAACATTAATCCAAGCATCAGAATTTTAAGTGAACAAAAAAATTCATATTCAACTAAAACAATTTAAAATAGCAACATAAGCAAACAACAAAAAAGATGGTGTGTTAATTGAGATGAAATTCATGAAAATAAAATTTGAGAAAAATAATAAATTCACTTCATTCATGATACCTTATCTACACCATTCGTAGTGTATATAGAAATTCAATAGTATGTCATAGTCTCTATGTAAATAATCAAACCACCAACCATGCACCAAAGAAACCCATTCCCAACCAATCGATCCACTTCGTGAAAATTTCCAAACAATAAAAATCATAGCCTCTTCAAACTCACCTTATTGCAAGAATTGTGCTGTGCGCGCAAGTGAGGTGCATGAGAATTGGTACAAATCTACTTATCATTAAAAAACACAAGAATTTAAAGAAAACACAACTCAATTCATTTATCGAATTCAATAGCATACTCCAATTCTACTTTAACAAAATCATTTATCAACTACCGCGACAACTCAGTAATATCATCAAACAGACTATGTCGCAATGAGTGTGGATCATGGTTTAGAAAGAACTAATTTTCCATAAAACAAAGAAGCCTAGAAAGTAGAAACCGAACCCACCTTCTTCCTCTTCTTTATTAAATTTTTTATATGTATCCTGTTAATTGCAGTGACTGTCAATGTGCCTGCCTACAAAATTAAGGAAACCCATAATTCAGTAAAGATAGCAGGGAGTAAGAGAGTGTCTACAATCGAAAACTCAGACAACTCGATTCCACAAAAAGATTTACCAAAAATATTTGAATACATTAATTTCGAGTTCTTTTCATGCAAGCAATACAACAAACACCTTCTGCACGTGCCTACGCCACTTTCCAAATAACTGTCCACAAATACACCAAAACCACATAATGCCTTCAGACACCTTTTGTGATGATTCTTCAATGTAAATATAATGTTTGGAAGGCCATAAATATAGCTACTGTACCCTAACAGTGCACACAAATTTGGAGCAGCACCATTATTTAGATGTAAATGAAACCCACTCAAGCGTAATAACTAACGTACGTTTCAGCTATCAAATAGATATTGATCAAGCAACGCCTACACAAAGTTCCAAGGGATCCATTGCTCCAAATGACGATAACACAAAAGAGACACATTGCTCCAAATGATGACAATTGAAACACCACATGATATATTTATTTCGCAAATATTCAAGATAAATGTCGTCTCAATCTCTCAATTTCAAACTAAAGCACTAACAGTTCACATGATATATTTAACATGATAATTTAACAATAGAGTACCTCTCGGAGGCATTTCAACAAACAGTTCAAGTACACTAACTGAAACACCCAAAGTGATCCAATCCAAGAAAATGGATGGGGAATCTGGCGATACCCTATTCATACCATTAGTGTCAAGGATATTGAAGTTTTCTTAGATAATGCTCACAGATTGAACTATATTTTTGTTATGCTACTGGCGGGGTCGTTGGTGGGTCTCCATGGTGGTGGTCGTTGTTCAGGCTAGTAGATAAGAGAGTGAAGAGAGAAAGATAGAGTGGTGAGAGAAAGATAAGATAGAGATTGGGGAAGAGAAAGGGGTTAACAAACGCATGAGAGAGAAGAGATAGGGAGGAGAGAGAACCGAGAGAGAGGGGAATAGAAAGTACCTAGCGGCTGGAGATGGTGACCCCGGTAGGTGGCGCTGGTGGTTTCGGCAGATGACGCTGGTGGTTTCGGCTCTAGTGGGTCTGTCTCTCTTGGTGGCTTACAAAGTGAGAGAGAGAGAGAGAGAGGCACTGAGCGAGAGGTGAGAAAGAAGAAGACAGTACGCTTAATTGGGGTTGTGTGTTGGACTGGGGTAGTGTGTGTGTGGGGTTAAAATGGGCGGGAGATGATATTTACGTGGGATGTATTTTGAGCCTTTGGATTAAGTTGAAAGAATTGAGATGAAATTTGGACCTTTAAATTAAAAGTGGATTTAATTTGAGCCGTTCTTATGCTTTCCCAAATGAATTAAAATTGAAATAAATTTTGAAGTGAAAATGGATTCAAAATTGGTCTATCTTATTATTATAGATTTA